AACAAAACACAGAGTTATGAGGAGACCTTCTGGGCCACCCTAAAATCCAGTATATTTATATCAGGATATGTTTTGAGGCTTGAATCTACACCTTAAGATGGAAACGCTCCATGCAGATACGCACATATATCCCACCCTCTAAAGTGCTTCTTCCAGGTAATTCCCGGACAGCATTAGGACAGTTTAATTCCAAAAGAAGCCGAAGAGCACAAGATTAGCAACGGTTACAATAGCAAGCTGGGCAATAAAACTCCACTGTCACCCTTGTGTGTCACGTCGTCAACCAGAGGCGGCGCCCCGGTTTGGGGAACCTGCCGCAGGAAAACTGAGAAAACCCGGGGCTACGAAGCAAGCCACGGTTTATTTCCCACCCAGGACATCATCCTCCCGAGGAAACGCGGCTCCCATTGTAGCCGGGTAACGGCCATTCCCAAATTGCAGCAGCAGCAGCCACAGCCACTCCCCGCCCCATTCAGCCGAGAGCCGCAGCGCCATCCTCGCGGGCGAGAGATGAGCTCCAGCCAAGGGGCGCCTGGAACGCGCCGGGGTCTCCAGCGGCTCTCCAAAGCGGGACCCCAAGTGCGCGCCCACCCAGCTTCACTCACATGCCCTTCCAAGCTTCCTCGCCGGCCTCCTTGGCGGGCCGAGCCTCCTTTCCGTGACGGGGCAGGGCTGTTGAAAGTCACCGCGGCGCCCGCCTGCCTATCCGGAGGCAGGCTAAAAATCCGCTAGCCGCAGCATCGAGACAGGCCTCGCGCTTTCCTCCACCCAGCGCCGCACCGCGCCGCCGGTTCCGCACATGGGGAAAAGGAGAGACCGCCCTAAGAGGACGGACGGAGGGAGGCCGACGGCGGAGGGAGGGAGGGAGGAGAGTCTCTGCAGAAGGTGGGGGGAGAGCCGAGGGAGGGAGGGCCTGAGCAGTAAAGGGTCAAACGGAGGGTGGCCCGGGAGAAGGAAAGGAGGAGCAGATGGCGTTGCCTTCGGCCTGCGACAGCTGCAGGGTTTGTAGCACTCAGCTCGCTGGGTGTGAAACGTGGAGGAATCCTGACCCCGATGTATCACGCTTCACACAGACACACACACAGAGAGAGAGAGAGAGAGAGAGGGAAGGAAGGAAGGAAGAAGAAAGAAAGAAAGAAAGAAAGAAAGAAAGAAAGAAAGAAAGAAAGAAAGAAAGAAAGAAAGAAAGAAAGAAAGAAAGAAAGAAAAAGAAAGAAAGAAAGAAAGAAAGAAAGAAAGAAAGAAAGAAAGAAAGAAAGAAAGAGGACAAACACGCCTCCATACGTTTTGCCAGTTACTCATTTTCCCTCCACCACTGTGTGACTCCTGACCAGAGAGGGTACATACACTAATCTTGTAAGGCCGTTGTTTTCTAAATAACAAAAGTGCATTTATTGAGTTTCTTGCTGAGCCAGATAGACAAAAAGAAGACCCCATCTCCACACCGCATTGTATTCATTCAGCTTGCAGAAAATGCAGAGAACTGTCTGTCGTAGGCATTGGGAAAGCTAAATTCTTCTGAAAGCTAAACTTACTTTATTTCCCAGTACAAAAGAGGACTCTTTCTTGACTAGTGTAGGGTGAATCAACGTCTACAGGTTTAAAACCACTTCTTTATTTTTGCTTTTAGAATCTGCCAAGTATAATGTGACTTGGGGGAGTACTTTTTTTCAGAACCATATCAATTAAAATGCAGCATAGCATGCAAAAATCACTTGCTGTTAAGTCTACACAGAAGTGTTGCTATTTTCAGTAAGCTTTCCCTTGCTATGTGCTTTTAAAAGAGCAGCTTTGAATTTATATTCTGTTCTATCAGACCTGCAGTGTACATATATAAGAAAACAAATATAAGAAATTCTGAAGCCTTAAGCCCACCTCTGAAAGCATATATCCCTTTGAACCGTATATTGGAGCTATACTTCCTTTCATATTTGGAGTGCCTAAAAAACTAGGTCTTAGTGGGAAAGTTGTGATGAACTGCCTATTCCCTAACGTTTTGATTTCAACATATGACAACAGAAACTGAGTTTCTAGACCTTTCTCTACTATCTTAACCATGACAACTTTAAGGTATATAGACCTCAACTCCCAGAATTCCCCAGCAACACTGCTCTACTGTATTGTTATTCCACTACAGTATTTTGAATCTTACAGAAAAATTAAATTAAGACAATTACTACTCGTAGACTTAAAATGGAAGAATAAATAAAAAGTCATGTCATTTTATAATTCATACAAGAATTAAGATTGCAAACAAACCAAATAGTTGATCAGCTACTGTACCTTGGTCATGTTACTCAATGAATGAATATTTGATTTTCTACTTTTAACATTTCTAAGCATGTATTGGATTTACTGACAATACATATTTTGTCAGTTATATCTAACTGACCTCATAATTTTAAATCTCGAATAGTACCTAGCATTTTCAAAAGAAAAATTGAAATATTTCTTAGGTAAAGATTTCTTAGAACTCATTTATATACTATAATAAAAAGCTGTGTCTTTTATTTGTAATCTGGAATAATAGAATGTAAAGAATGTTAAATTATCAATAGAAGCAGAGGTGAAAGTGGTATTTAAGTAATTGAATCCACTCTATGAAAGTATCAAAAGTCTGTAATATGTTTAACATTTGTTTCCAAATCAATTAAAAAATTATAAAATATTATTTGGCATTATTTTTGCAAAAACAATTAGCTAGAGACTAACTTTTTTTTTTAATTAAGAAAGGTTTGTATTGTCACACTTCAAATTTCTTTCAATAAAATAGTTTCCTCACAGTTGACATAGTGACCTTTCTTAATACAAATATACGTAAGGGAATTTAAGGAAATGGAATTGTATCTTCTAAGGTGGATTTTTTTTTTTCAAATCAGAAACATTGTAAACTGCAGTGAGATTTATTATGAGAACAAGTCACCATGCATTTCCTGCTTCCCTTGAATAAATGAAGTTTTAGAGCTTCTGCTTTATGAAAAGATTATTACCTAATCTTCCGTTCCTAACCACTCTCTCTCAATGGTAAGGAAATGAAGTAGGCCTAGGCTGCATTGCTTATGCTTTGTTTTCTATTTAGGCAAGGAAATACTAAGTGTTTGGTAGCTCTAGCAAGCTGTTCAGAGTAACTTCCCCAATCAGGAATGAATGAGCCACTTCTCTTTTAGCTCAGCTACTGTCTTCAGTGGGCTACACTGAAAGTGTCACAATTTCCTATGCAAAATTTCTATGGTAAATACCTGTATCTGTTCTTCCCCTTCTATTTCCCACTCTGACCTGAGATATAAATTATGAATGAGCTGTTTTGCAAGAAAGAAGGATATTTATGATACCTGGTTCCAACATCTGTTTTTACTTTTCATTGGCAGTTTGGAGATAACAGCACCAATAATTTGTAGATAGTGCCTGAGCTTCCTTAGAATAAAATCTGCATCCAGCCATCATCAATCTTGATAGAACGTGGTATGGCAACTGTTCACTAAACCTAGAAATCATTAAACAAATAGATCCACGTACTGTGTAAGACCCTGGTTTGTGGAATAAATCACAGTTTGCAGGGTTTACTAACCCCCCTAGCCAATAAAGCATGTTTTTGAAACCACAAGAGATTTGAATCGCATTCCCAGCCAAAACCATACACGCTGCATTAGGGCTTAATTAATGCCGAAGCTCAATTCATTTTTAAAGTAATGCTTAATGCATTGATCAAAGGTAACTGTCTGGATTCTTAAGTTTAAGAAGTGTTTGTAAAGAGTGCTAAAACATGAATTGCTCTACTTATTCTTCTCTCAGGGACAAGATACTTACAAGTAGTTGTACATATATAAATCCCAGATAACAGTATCATTACCAGGGGCAACAATTATGAAAGAATGCTGTTTAAAATTAAATTTCAGATGCAAACCAGTATTGAGCTGATTGATTGATTGATTGATTGATTAAATGAAATGCAGGTTATATACCCATTTGGGATTGTTCCTCAAGCCCAGCCTTGTTATTATGTTTTGACATTTTAGCAGTAAGAACTACTATTATACAATGATAGTTTGGCTGTTTCTTTATCTGCATCTATATGTAAATAGGTTTTATAGCCTGAGTCATCTACTTTGAGTGATTGTCTGGAAAGCAAACAAATAGCTCATCCTTTTGGAGCTCCTGTTTTATTTAATAGTTGCATAGCAGCATTTCGACAGGTGAAAATTGTGGAATAAAAGTATATGCCAAAATTCCATCATCAGGACAGCTAGCAAAGTGCAGGAGTTTAATGCTAAAATATTAGCCATTCCCAGTGCTGCTACAAGGATAACAGGATGGGATCAATTGTGATTTATTTAGTTGGGGTGTAAGAGTCTCCCTCAAGCTAATTATTGTGGTTTATAAACCATGCTTTAGTGCAATAGGTGCAGCCACAGAAAGTTTGAATTGCTTACTCTAAAATTTTAAAAAAAAATAGTTTTTCTCTTTCCTAATCCTTCATGCCATTTTGATAGATTCCCCCTCCCCTCCAAAGCATAACATTTCACTCCCACATTCATCTGATGAGTTGCTCCTTTAAGACTGGTTTAAATTAGCGTGTATGGCCAGTATGGTGGAAAAAAGCTGTGTTGAATCACCATCTTGAAACCCTACCAAGAACTGCAGCCAAGTACAGTGTAATTTTGTGGGTTTTAGCATAAAACCAAAGGAACCAATGGCCTTTTAAAAAGCATTTGCAATAACTTTGATTCTGAATGGTTGGGGCTGCTTGTTTGTTTAGGTTGTTTAATTGGAATCACCTCACAGAATAATCATCAGCAGGTGTTATTTGGCAAAACTATGAAGAATCAAATTAGGAAGAGCCAGGATAAGATCTGCATAAACCTGAACAAATAATTGGGGCTTACTTATGCAGGCAACTCTACTGCAGCAAAGGAGCTGCAGCAGTTAAGATTCTGCAGTGTTGGCAGGAAAATGCCAATGACTCAGCAACCACATTTGAATGTGAAATAATGCAATGCTATTATGGAACTTTTCATACTATAGTGAGTAATGTCCGTCTTTTAGTTGTTTATATATAATCCAAGTTTTTATGCCTCCTTAATGGATTTTTAATGCCACTGTTTTAAATATTTCATGCCTGTAGAAATGGAGAGTTCTGATGATGATTTAAGTTGCTATTTAAATCCAGAGTATCTATATGTTATTCAATATTCTATCATAGATTGAAATAGCTATACGCAGCTTTCAGATCTAAGAAAACTGCTTTGCTGAATACTGTCAGCTGGAGAACAACAAATAGGTTATTATCTTCAGGACTCTTTATGGAGTCACAGAACGATTTGGTTAGCCTCTGTACATGTGCTAGATTAAATACAAATAAGCCAAGATTCACATTTTATCAGTAATTTTTAATATTCTGGATATATAAACATCACTTAGAAACTTTCAAATTGTGACCTTTATTAAATTATATCTTTTATTTTATGTACATGAGAGCATATGCACCAAGACAAATTCCTTGTGTGTCCAATCACACTTGGCCAATAAAAATTCTATTCTATTCTATTTTGCCAAAACAAACTTGTCTGCCACTCCAACATGGAAGGTTAACAAAATAATAGAATTGAAAGGGACCTTGGAAGTCTTCTAACCCCATACTCAAGCAGGAGACCCTGTACTATTCCATATAAGTGGCTACCCCAGTCTCTTCTTAAAATCCTCCAGTGTTGGAGCACCCAGAACTTCTGAAGGCAAGTCATTCCACTGGTTAATTGTTCTCACTGTTAGGAAATTTCTCCTTAGTTCTAGGTTGCTTTTCTCTTTGATTAGTCTTTATCCATCGTTTCTTGTTCTGCCTTCTGATGCTTTGGAAAACAGGTTGACCCCAGTGGTGGGTTCCAACCGGCGTTACTACCGGTTCTCTTCAT